GCAAACTTTAAATCATCAGCCCATGCATGCATTATATAAACCGAACTATGATGACGGATGGATTCCAAACTCATTCACATGGCTTGCATATTATATTTTTGGTACCTAAGTTAGAAAATACCGACATGATAGCAATGCAAGTTATATTATGCAATATTATAAAAGAGTAGCATGGCAATTGACGCTAATACTACAGACACACACACACAGAATTAGATAAACGAAGAACAAGATAATGGGGTGATAGGTGAATGGTGCAGGTGGCAAAAGAGTAAAGCAGGATGCTGCACTTGTTAAGACTGCTAAGGAGAACTCGACCCGGAGAGAGAGAGAGAGAGAGAGAGGAGAAAATATAGTAAGAGAGAATGAGACAAAGCTCAAATTGGAGAAAAGCAAGATGGCCTGAATTGCACATTGACTGCTTCATGGCTTGTCTTCGGATGAGAGCCCAAAACCGGCTCAAAGTACAGCTGGCTCCCGACTGGGCAATCTGTTGTCTGTAGTACAGATGCCCGACCGTCTGAAAGAAGTCAGTCTCGACTCGCCCCGACAAACACTGGCCAAAACACGTCTAGAGGTATCCCTTGCCCACACCATCACCAATCACGACCAGGATACCACCGGTTGCCAGGCTACCCTTGTCTCAAAAACACTAACAGGCACCGTGTCAAGCCGACAGATTTGTGGGAATAAAGCCAGAATGCCACGTGGACGAAGGATAAAACAAAACGACTATCAACAGCCATCCAAAGAGGTGTAGCTGTAGGGCCGTTCTACATAAAATGTGTGGTGCATGCGGATCGTGTAGAAAAAAAGCCTAAGATAAGAGAAAAAATGTCGTCTAAGGGATAGAAAAACACATGACGCCTTGATGCAACCCATACAATTCAGAGCAGAGTTTGACAGCCACGTGGGCCGTTGAATGGGTCACGCTTGGGTGTAGGCGACTGTTCAACGTCTATTTAGCTGGGTCAAGGGGGCACTCAATGGCACGGCGACGAAGGGAGGACACAAAAGCACAAAGTGCAACAACGACTGTTTCATTGTGTGGTTTCAGTCGGATCACCGGTTTGTTTTTTGTGAAGATGTGAGGCAGTGTTTGCTCTCATGCGTCCAGAACTTCAAGTGCTCCAAAAGACCCGAAAACACATGCACCAGAACCGAGAGACGAGAAGACATCGTTCGGACGGAGCTTAGACTTCTACGTTCATGTTCTTCTCGTTGTTGGTCATGTTGGTGAGAAAAAGCTCGGATTCGTTGGCCTGCGAGGTCGGCCTGGACGAGGCCACGCGAAGGCTGGTGACGAATCGTCGGCGGATAGACGCAGCAATCGGGTTGGTATGGCGCTCACACGCTGCTTCGTTCTCCGTCTCCACGGCCTCTTGTACCACTACTTCGGCTTCTTCCTGTTCCTGCTTTAAGGCTGTACTGAATACGACTTCGTCGGCCTGAAGTGAGGCTGATTTTTAGAAAAAGCGAAAAACAGAGATCAAAGGACGTAGCTGAGGATGAGGCAGAATGAGACAAAATAGTGGACAAAAGATGCATTAAAATAGAAAGTCTAACTGTGCTTAGGTTAGTACCAATGACATTGAATGCCATTAAATCCTCATTACCATCTGTCAGTAGAGACACGCCCCAACTTCCATCGAATTAAGAGCTCTGCCAATTTTCACAAAATTATCCTCAAAGTGTCAGCAATCCTTAATTATTGTATACAAGCCAGC